CTTTATCTGGGATAGATTTGTAGATGCTGGATTTCTTGGTAAAGGATGTTACACTTTTAAGTTTTGAAGGCTATTGTCAAGTTGCCCTTACAGAGCTTAACCAAGTTACAGCCCCACGAGCAGTGTGGAGAGTGCCAGCTTCCTCATTCCTTCAACAACACTGAGAACTGAAAAACAGTGCTTAAGTGTGCGCTTCTTTAATTATGGTTGAGAGAGGATAGTTTTTCAAATTTGTATTGGACATTTACATTTCTTTGTCTGTTGTTCATTCATGCTTTTAGCCCAATTTTCTGTTGGATTGTTTTTTCTTGCAGTTATGTAGGAGTTCTTTGTATATTAAATAAGTGATTCCTTTTCCTGTCATATGTTTTGCAGCTACTTTTCCCCACTTCTTATTTGTAATTTGACTTTTTTTTCTTTTGCATTTTTTTTGCCATATGTAGCTTTTAATTCTTTATATGGTAAAACCTATCAGCTTTTCTTTTATGACCTCTGCTTTTAAAACTTTTTTATGACTTCAGCCTTTTAAACTTCCTAAATACTTTTTACAGATTTATTCGGAGAGTGTTTAAGAATCTCTTTGAATGTCGTTGAGAGTAAGTATTCTTGTTGCTGTCAGTTTGAAGTGGCATAAATTACTGAGCAGTAGCCTTCAAACTGCCCCTAGACACTAACTTAATTGTTAAATTGAGTCAAGTCACTTGGAGGTGAAGAAATCAGTTTTCTTACCACCTCCTGAAAACAAGCCCCCTGAATAGCAGCCTCTCTGGTATATCTAAAACCATCGCTTTGAAAGCATTTTCATGTGCGACTTTTCACAAACGCTTTTTTTGGTATAAAATGAGGTGTGTTATGAGTAAGTCTTAAATTAGCTAAGAATTTTCATTCTTGCTTCTTTCTTCCTCCCTGTGCCCTGCCTTCCCTTCCACTCCCTAATTTAAAAAAAACAAACCAAAGCTGTTGCCTTTGAGTCGATTACAACTCACAGCGACTCTATAGGACAGAGTCGAGCTGCCCAATAGGGTTTCCAAGGAGTGGTTGGTGGATTTCAATTGCCGATCTTTTGGTTAGCGGCTGAGCTCTTAACCACTGTGCCACCAGAGCTCCACTCTCTAATTACTGGGGACAGTTTTAAAATGTTTGTTCTTGTTTTAAGACACACCGTTTCAAATGTTAGGTCATTTGGATAGGTATATTTCCAACAAAACAGTTTTGAAAAAGGAATATGAAATCTTTTTAGTTTAAATTTCTTTCTATTTAGGAGAAACTTGTAGAAAAAATTGATCTATCACAAACCAAAATAAATGTATACTAACTCCACATAGGGTATTTTTTAAATCATGTTTATTAGATCCAGGAAGCAGCTTTTTGTTGATATTTTGTTAAATAGAATGGCAGTATTTGACAGAGAACATCTTTTTAAAAGTCTTGCCTATAGCAATCAAGTTTGACCTTTAGGTATTCTCTGGAAGCAGCGGCTGGCCCAGCAGAGGCAGCTGTGGAACTGCCACAGGCTCAGAAGTCAGTCAGGCTTGGGTTTGAGTCTGGTACAACCTATTATTCTAAGTGACCTTGAACTAGTTACCTAAATTTGTTGAGTAAAATGGGGAAATAGCACCTGTTTGTTCTAAGGACTGAATGAGATAATCAGTGTTAAATAGCCAGCACGAGATAAATATCCCCATAAATTGTTAGTCTTCAGGGCAAAAATGACTGTTTAGACTTTTGGGAGGGATATGCTTATGTGTTCTTTCTTGATATCTCTCCCACTCTAGTATTTATTTGCCTCCTAGCCCCCACCCTACCAACAAAAGAATGACTAATATATGGTTTCAGTTTTTGAGAATTTTACATTTAAGATCTTTAAGAACAGCTATTTGAACGGCTGTGTGTGTGTGTGCTAGTCTTTTCTATGCAAAGAAATAGGTGGTCTGAAGTTCATTTTCTTGATGTCATATAGATTTTTTTCTTGATAAGAATTATGCTGTTCCGTCCTCCTAGAATTCCCGCCATTGTCTGCCCATCCAAATCCTTATCCTTTAATGCCAATTACAAGGCCCAAAAACCAGGTGCTGCCTTTTGGAGGCTTCTCCTCGGTCAGGGGAATCAAGTGCTCCCTCCTCTGGATTTCTCTAGTGCTGTGCCTTAGCGCTTAAAAATTTGTATTCTAGTTCTGTGTCTGTAACTCCCTTCTTTTTTTTTAATATTTTATTGTACTTCAGGTGAAGGCTTACAGAACAAATAGTTTCTCATGAAACAGTAGTACACATGTTGTTTTATGACATTGGTTAACAACCCCACAACATATTAACCCTCTAACTTCTCAGCCTTTTTTTTTTTTTTTTGGTGAAAATACACATAGCCAAAGATACACCATTTCAAAAATTTCTACGTACACAGTTCATTGACATTGACTATGCTCTTCCAATTGTGCTGTTATTCTCACTTAAGATGAAGGCTTACAGAACAAAATAGTTTCTCGTTTAAGTTACTACAAATGTTGCGCAATGACAATGGTTAACAATCTCACAACACATCAACAGTATCCTTACTCAACCTTGGGTTCCCTATCACCAGCTTTCTTGTCCCCTTCTGCCTTCTGGCCCTTGTCACTGGACTCCTGTACCTTGTTAGTCTCATTTGGTTTTACGGGGCTGTCCACTCGCAGGCTGAACAGTGAACCTCGGAGGTAACTCCACCACTGAGCTAAAAGGGTGTCTGGGGGCCATACTCCCAGGGTTTCTCCAGTCTCCTTTAGGCCAGTAAATCTGGTCTTTTTTGTGTGTGTTAGAATTATGCTCTACATCCTTCTCCAGCTCTGTCCAGAACCCTCTGTTGTGATCCTACTCAGAGCAGTCAGTGGTGGTTGCCGGGCACCATCTAGCTGTACTGGACTCAGTCCGGTGGAGGCCTTGGTAGCTGTGGACAATTAGTCCTTCAGACTGATCTTTTCCTTGTATCCTGTTCTCTTCATTCTCCCTTGCTCCTGAAGGGATGAGACCAGTGGAGTATCTTAGATGGCCACTCACAGGCTTTTAAGACCCCAGACACTCCTCACCAAGGTAGAATGTAGAGCATTGTCTTTATAAGCTGTGTCATGCCAATTGAGCTTGATGTTCCGCGAGACCATGGTCTCCACAGCCCTCCACCCAGCAATTCTGTAACTCCCTTCTTTTGTTCTTAAGGAGCAGGACCACATTTCATGCCTCTTTGTATCTCCTGCACAATTATCCTGGCAGTTAGTGGATAAATGTGTGAATTATTCTTAAGCTGTATGATTTTAGAAAGTCACCTAAACACTGAGATGTATTTTCTTCATTAGTAAAATGTGACTTTCCACCTCTGGACATTCTACTTGATCTGTTTCACCACAGTCACCAATAAAGTTCTAGTTGCGCAGTTACGTGGCTTGGTTTTGACTTTATGCTCTGTGGCATTTGACAATGACCACAGCTTCTTGAAACCTTCTGTTGAGTACCCTTCTCCCCTACAAAGTCAGCTAATCCTTCTACTTCTCAGAACACCGCTCCTTCTGCTTGCTTTTATCACTTAACCTTGGACTTAACCATTGGGAGTCTTTAGGATTCTGCCCTATGCTTTGTCCATAGTAGATGTTTTATAAATATTTGTTGAATTAAGAGATATCTGAAAGTTTTTAAACAGTAAGGGGTTATGCAGATGTGAATAGTTATTAATATCAAGAATATTGCTTTTTTCTGGTGTATTTTGCTTGATTTTTTTTTCCTCCTATTTTTGAATACTGTTAGAACCCTTTAGGAGGGAAAAAGTGCTTAGAATCTTTTGGAAAGACATTTTACTTGTATTGAGTCTAACCATTTTAAAGAACAAAGGTCTCTTAGACACTGTACAACAATGTTCAGCTTGTCTTTCTGAAACCTTGTAATGCGAGAAAAAGAACGTAGTTGTCTGTGTCTTTAGGCAGAGATATCTCTATGAATCTGTGGAAACATCTACATGTAGATAGTGTGATTTGTTCATAGTTTAGGTGCTTGAAACAGTGACTAGTTTTTGTTGTGGTGGTAACTTTTTTTTTACAAGTTCATTATGTCAAATGGGATTTTTTTTTTTCTTACAGATTTTAAAACATATTTTTCTTAACATTGTATGAGGGATATATTTCATAAAAGAGAAATGGAGGTTTTTCCCCCAGTCTTTAAATACCATCAGGGGTTCTTATTCTTCTTAGCCTTTTACTTTGTCATTTTGCTAGGGCAGAAGAAATGTTCTAGGAGAAAAAAGAGCAGCAGCAATATCACTATTATATATTTCATTTCTGCAAGTTAAGAGCAGTGTAATTATTAGCAGGTAGTGAGGAAATTTAAAAATTAACATTTTCCTTCCTGGCTTTCTGAAAGTTACTTTCTCTGTTAACTTTCTGCTGTTTGCCTCATAAATCAGTCCTTCATATACCTCAGAGCTAGGATACTTGTTTTCCACTTTTAAACCAGGAGACTCCCTTTCACTTTCACCTCCACCCCCACAAATGGGTACAGAACTCCAAATGGATGAGAATGAATTTGACCAAGATTCTCAGTCCCTGAACTCTCCTACCATCTGGGATCTTGATCCTATTCCAGAGCATTTTTGGAGAAACTCTGAGCTGTTTTTTCCTTCCACTTTCAGAATTGACTAAGTTATGAAACCAATTTTCTCTTTCCCTTAAACCAATAGGGCTACGGTGTGTTTTCTATGTCCTGCAGCGAGTATCCTCGATTCTTCGAGGTGCCCTTCCGTGCCTCTCATCCCACTGTGCCACATGTCCCCTGCCTGGTGTAGCACAAACAGTATGCATTTGACTATCACTTTGAACTTGAGGCTGTCATACCTGGGAAGGCCCCTGATGTTGGTTTTTTGTTTTTGTAAACTGAAAGATCTTGATTTCATGTTACCTTGGGATTTTTGTCCTGAGAATTTAAATGTATCATCATACAAAACATTTAAGTCTGTTGCTAATATGAAATTTTAATTTTTCTTTACAGGTCAACTTTGTAGTGTGCCAACTCTTTGCCTTGCTAGCAGCCATTTGGTTTCGAATTTATCTGCGTTCAAGCAAAACTAGCTCTTTTATAAGACATGTAGTTGCTACCCTTTTGGGCCTTTATCTTGCACTTTTTTGCTTTGGATGGTAAGTAATTATTTTGATCATATATAAATGGATATATTTGCGATTTGAGTGTGTAGAAAGATATACTATGCAGGTTGTTTTTATATTTACTTACAGAGTTTTCTCTCATAGGCTATCTTTTATTTTTATTTTTAATACAAAAAGGTAAAAAGTGGGGCTTTCAGTTTTTACAGACCATGCGCTCTCCAAAGTCTGGTTTTCAGAGGGAACTATTTAATATTTATAATTCATGAAAAAGGACAGATGAAGAAAAAGGATATAAGGATGTTTCATTCTGTCATGACTAGTATTTTTCACCTATTTTGCAATTCTTTTATGCCAAGACAAACCATTAAATATATATATATATATATATATCTCCAAGACAAACCATTAAAAATATATATATGTATATATACTTTTTTTGCTTTGGGCAAGTGGCTTTTAGGAGTCTGGTAAAGATCATTAATAAAGCTCTATTACCATCTTTTAGACTCCATCATTAACGAAAATCATTTGTTCGTTTTTTTGGTGTGGAAGTATTAATAATGGAAAGGTTTTATTTATGACCCTTCAGAGGGAGTGTGTGTGTGTGTGTGTGTGTGTGTGTGTGTGTGCGCACATGTGTGCTTCTTTTAGTCACCTCCCTTTCTCAATTGACAGGGCTACCCTGAAAGCTTTAAGTACAGAAACATCACACTTCCTGTTCATTGTAGGTAACTGCAGTGGTGGCATAATGGTTAAGAGCTACGGCTGCTAACCGAAAGGTTGGCAGTTCAGTCCACCAAGTGCTCCTTGGAAACTCTGTGGGGGCAGTTCTACTGTGTCCTATTGGGTCACTATGAGCTGGAATCGACTCGACAGCAACGTGTTTGGTTTATTTTGGCAGTTCGGTGCAATAGAAGAAATCAGGAGATGAGCATGCCGTCCTGGCGAAGCAGCAAGAGACTCAGTGGAAGGCCTTCTTTGTAATTTCTTCAGAGTTTTCTTTCTTAAGTGAGAGCTTATGCTGCTAGCTCATTTGCCGTATTGTTTACACACTTGCAGATAAGGATTTCTAGGATGTCTTTTCTGTAGACTGTTGTCTGAGACGAGAATTCCCTGAAAGGATAAAAACGCACTCAACGTGATCTGTAGTTTAGTAGTTTCAGTTGTGATGTGTAAAATCTGTGGAACTTTGATAACGCCTCTGTATTTTTTCAGACATGTTGTTTTTGAGTCTTGTGAGGGCTGGGGTATATTGGTATTTCTTAATCTAATTTGTGTTTCTGGCAGTTCAAATGTTTCCTAGAAACTCATGAAAAATCAGTCAGAGATAAGTTATTCAACCTCTACATCTGTGCCATATGACTGACCAGCCCTGGAATGGGCACTTCTAGTGTGGATGTGTGTCTAGTCCTGGTATTTAAATACAATCTCTTTAAAAAATTTATGTGATCTCTCTTTTTTTTTTTTTTTAATTTTTTTAAATTGTACTTTGATGAAGGTTTATAGAACAAATAGTTTTCCGTTAAACACTACACATACCGTTTTATGACATTGGTTACCAACCCCATGACATGTCAGCCCTCTCCCTTCTCAACCTTGGGTTCGCTATTATCAGCTTTCCTGCCCCCTCCTAACTTCTAGTCCTTGTCCTGGGCTGTTGTGCCCCATTAGTCTCATTTTGTTTTATGGGCCTGTCTAATCTTTGGCTGACGGGTGAACCTCAGGAGTGACTTCGTTACTGAGCTAAAAGGGTTTCCAGGGGCCATACTCTCAGGGTTTCTCCACTCTCTGTCAGGCCAATAAGTCTGGTCTTTTTTTTGTGAGTTAGAATTTTGTTCTGCACTTTTGTCCAGCTCTGTCCGAAACCTTCTGTTGTGATCCCTGTCAGAGCAGTCAATGGTGGTAGCCGGGCACCATCTAGTTGTACTAGACTCAGTATGTGGTCTTTTTTACTTCCTTGACAGCATCACATTTACATCATCAAAGTTTTCTTAGGTTTCTCATTGATATCATTTAAACTTCTTGTAAACCATGCTATTGGGTAGTATATGTTTTTAAAGCTTTTTTATTATGGAACTTTTCAAACACAAAAGTACAGAGAATAGCAATTCTTTGTGAACTGGAATGACTAAGGAAGTAGAGTATCCTTTAAATTTTTTTTTTTTTAATTGAGGGAAATTCACATACCATAAAATCAGTCATTTTAAAGTGACGAATTCAGTGGCATTTAGTACATTCACAATATTGTTCAACACCACCTCTAATTGCAAAACATTTTCATCACCCCAAAAGGAAGCCCCCCCTACCCATTCAGCAGTTGCTCTCCGTTCTCCACTGCCCTTAGCCTCTGGCAACTATCAATCTGCATTCTGTTGCTATGATTTATTTATCCTGGATATGTCATATACATGGAATCATATAGTATGTGACTTTTGTGTCTGGCTTCTTTCACTTAGCATGATGTTTTCAAGATTCACCCACATTGTAGCATGTATCAGTATTTCATTCCTTTTTATGATTGAATAATATTCTGTTGTGTGTATATATATATTGTTTATCCATTTATCCATTGATGGACATTTGGGCTGTTTCCACCTTTTGGCTATTGAGAATAGTGCTGCTACAAACACGTGTATACCTATATTTGTTTGGTACCTGTTTTCAATTCTTTGGGGTATATACCTAGGAGTGAAATTGCTGTGTCATAGGTAATCCTTTGTTTAACTTTTTTTTTTTTTTTTGCCATCTTTTTTTTTTTTAATTGTACTTTAGATGAAGGTTTACAGAACAAATAGTTGCTCATTAAACAGTTAGTAAACATATTGTTTTATGACAATGGTTAACAACCCCATGACATGTGAACACTGTCCCTTCTTAATCTTGGGTTCCCTATTACCAGCTTTCCTGTCCCCTCCTAACTTCTAGTCCGTGTCCCTGGACTGTTGTATCCCATTAGTCTCGTTTTGTTTTATGGGCCTGTCTAGTCTTTGGCTGAAGGGTGAACCTCAGGAGTGACTTCATTACTGAGCTAAAAAGGGTGCCCAGAGTTGTTAAACTTTTTGAGAAACTGCCAGACTTTTCCACAGTGGCTGAATTATTTTACATTCCCATCAGCAATATATGAGAATTTCAGTTTTTCCATATCCTCACCAACACTTGCTATTTTCTTTTTTTTTCCCCCCCCTTTTTAAAATTATAGCCATCTTTCTGGGTGTGAACTGCTACCTCATTTGCTTTTGATTTGCATTTCCCTAGTGACTAATGATGTTGAGTACCTTTTCATGTATTGTTGGCCATGTATCTTTTTTGGAGAAATGTCTGTTTAAGTTCTTGGCCCATTTTTTAATTTGATTGTCTGTCTTTTTGTTGTTGAGTTGCAAGTGTTGTTTATATATTCTGGATGCTAGATCCTTGTCAGATAGATGATTTGCAAATACTTTCTCCCATTCTGTAGATTGTCTTCTCACTTTCTTTTTTTTTTTTCCCTGTTCAACAGAGCTTTAATAATTTTTTTTTTTTTTAGTTCCAATTTATCAGGGTTTTTTTTTTTTTTTTTACTTTTTTTTAATTGTGCTTTAGGTGAAAGTTTACAGCTCGGGTTAGTTTCTCATACAAACATTTATACACACATTGTTATGTGACCCTAGTTGCTATCCCTATAATGTGACCGCACACTCCTCCTTTCTACCTCAGATTTCCCGTGTTCATTCAACCAGCTGCTATCCCTTTCTGCATTCTCATGTCTCCTCTGGACTGGAGCTGCCCATTTAGTCTTGTGTACCTACTTCAGCTAAGAAGCACACTCTTCACAAGTATCATTTTATGCCTTATAGTCCAGTCTAATCTTTGTCAGAAGAGTTGGCTTCGGGAATGGTTTTAGTTCTGGGTTAACAGAATCTGGGGGCCATGTCTTCTGGGGTTCCTCCAGTCTCAGTCAGACCACTAGGTCTGGTCTTTTTACTAGAATTTGAGTTCTGCACCCTACTTTTCTTCTGCTCCGTCAGGGACTCTCTGTTGTGTTTCCTGTCAGGGCAGTCATTGGTGGTAGCCGGGCACCATCTACTTCTTCTGGTCTCACGCTGGTGGAGTCTCTGGTTTATGTGGCCCGTTTTGTCTCTTGGGATAATATTTTCCTTGTGTCTTTGGTGTTCATCATTCTTCTTTGCTCCAGGTGGGTTGGGACCAATTGATGCATCTTGGATGGCCGCTCGCTAGCTTTTAAGACCCCAGATGCCACCTGCCAAAGTGGGATGCAGAACATTTTCTTAATAAACTTTGTTATGCCAACTGACCTATATGTTCCCTGAAACCATGGACCCCAGACCCTGCCCCTGCTACACTGTCCCTTGAAGTGTTTGGTTGTGTTCAGGAAACTTATTAGCTTTTGGTTTAGTCCAGTGGTGCTGACTTCCCCTGTATTGTGTGTTGTCCTTCCCTTCACCTAAGATAATTCCTGTCTACTATCTAGTTAGTGAATTCCCCTCTCCTTCCTTCCCTACCCTGGTAACCATCAAAGAATGTTTTCTTTTGTGTTTAAATCTTTTCTTGAGTTCTTATAATAGTGGTCTCATACAATATTTGTCCTTTTGTGATTGCCTAATTTCACTCAGCATGATGCCTTCCAGATTCATCCATGTTATAAAATACTTGCGGATTCATCATTGTTCTTTATTGTTGTGTAGTATTGTGTGAATATACCGTAATTTATCAGTTCATTTGTTGATGGGCACCTAGGTTGTTTCCATGTTTTTGCTATTGTGAACAGTGCTGCAGTGAACATGGATGTGCATATATCTATTCGTGTGACGGCTCTTATTTCTCTAGGCTATATTCCAAGGAATGGGATTGCTGGATCATATGGTACTTCTGTTTCTAGCTTTTTAAGGAAGCTCCAAATTGATTTCCAAAGTGATTGTACCATTTTACATTCCTACCAACAGTGTGTAAGTGTTCCAGTCTCTCCACAACCTCTCCAACATTTATTATTTTGTAGTTTTTGGATTAATGCTAGCCTTGTTGTGGTGAGATGGTATCTCGTTTTGATTTGCATTTCTCTAATGGCTAATGATCATGAGCATTTCCTCATGTATCTGCTAGCCACCTGAATGTCTTCTTTGGTGAAGTGCCTGTTCATATCCTTTGCCCATTTTTTAATTGGGTTATTTGTCTTTTCATCTTTTCACTTTCTTGATAGTATCCTTTAAGATAACAAAAGTTTTTAATTTTGGCGAAGTCCAGTTTAGTTTTTCTTTTGTTGCTTGTGCTTCTTGTGTCATATCTAAGAATCCATTGCCAACTCCAAGGCCGTGAAGATTTGCCCCTATGTTTTCTTCTAAGAATTCCGTGGTTTTAACTCTTGTAGTTAATTCCATTTTGAGGTAACTTTTGTAGTGGTGTGAGGTGGGGATCCAGCTTCATCCTTTTGCATGTGGAGATGCAGTTGTCTCAGCATGATTTGTTTAAAGATGATTCTTTCTCCCCTGAATGTTCTTGACGCTCTTGTTGAAAACCAACTGGTCACAGATATATAGGTCTATTTCTGTACTCTCAGTTCTATTCCATTGGTCTATATGTCTGTCCTTGTGCTAGTACCAGATTGTTTTGATTACAACAACTCTGTAGTTTGTTTTGAAATCAGGAAGTTTGAGTCTTCCAATTTTATTCTTCTTTTTCAAGATTGTTTTGGCTATTTGGAGCCCCTTGCAATTCCATGTGAATTTGAGGATCAGCTTTTTCATTTCTGTAAAAAAAAAGGAAAGGTTGTTGGAATTTTGATATGAATTACATTGAATCTGTAGATTGCTTTGTATAATATTGCCATGTTAAATATTAAGTCTCCCAGTTCAAGAACGTTAGCGTATCCTTTTGATTTCCATTTAGCACTTTGTTGTTGTTGTTCAAAGACAATTTATATCTGCTATTGATTTTGAAAACTTGCCCTTTGGAAGACATATGTCAGCATCTTGTAAATATAATTAACCATTTTATCTGCCTCTGTTGGGCCTCAGCATTTTTTTTTTTTTTAAACTATCATCTGTAAATCCTTAACTGAGAATTAGGTTACACTCTTCATTATTTATTTAAATATCTTTGAGAACAGTGTAGGGTAGTGGAAAACAGCTTAAACTCTGAAGTCAGACAGACCTGGAATCCAGCCTGAGTGCCTTGCCCTGCTAGCGGTGTGACTTTGAATATGTCATTTAACTGCTTTTAGTGTCACAGTTCTCATCTGTAAAATGGCACTAAGTATAGTTTAGTAGGATATTGTGAGGACTAAAAGAGGTAGTAATACAGAAGGAGCTTAGCACAATAGCTAGCTCATTGTGAGCACTGAAAGTTATTCAAGGTCAAGACCATTGCAGTTATTATCATTTGTCATCAGCATCATCCAGTTGGTTGTCCAGATTGGAAATTTTTTGTTTATCCAATCTCTAGTGTTTATCACACAATATCAAAATAGCCTATTTATTTGTGTGTCTTTCTATTTAGACTGGAAGCTCTCTGAGGACAGAGACTATGTTTCATTGACTCTTATATTCCCAGTGTCCGGTATCATGCTTCTCAGAAAGCACAAATTCAGTCAGGATCAGTTGAACAAGATCCCAACTTTTTTAAAACGTGTGCTCTTTTTTGCTAAAAATAAATTTTTTACCTACCTTTAGGGTGATTTGAAATTCAAAATAAGTAAAACGTTACATCTAAAAATAAACTAAACTTTTGGGACAAGGAGTTGTTTTGTTTTTAGAGTTCTTAAGCAGCTTGAAAGATTATGATACATAGGTCATGAGGTTCTACCCTGTCCCCCTGCAAGTGAGTAAACTGCCCAGAAACAACTTGGGTTTTAATGTCAGTTAGGGTACTAATTAGGTATATGACCTTAGAATTTAGTTTCCTATCCTCTAAAATGATGAGGGTTGGAGTATAATAGATCTTTAAGATATCTTCTATTTCACCTTTTTATTTTACTTAATAGTTAAGTGCTTACTATGCATTAAATAATCTATTCAATGCTTTTCATCTATTATTTCTTGATCCTGAAAAGGCATTAGTGGCTTATAGTATTTATTACTCTTATTTTACTAATGAGAACATAACCTTACAGAGGTTAATTTTTTGCTTCTGGCTATACAGCTAATAAATAGAGTAGCTGAGTATGGGAAATTGTGAAGAATATCACCAATGATATAATTGAGTAGAAAAGCAACTTGATGCTTCTCATGGAGGTCAGTGATACAGACAGAGGTGGATGCAGATCATCTCTGTGTGGATAAACTTGTACGGTTAGAATCATAAAGACTTATACAACAGGAGGCTGCCAAAATGTTACACTGCTCCCAAAAAGATTACCAAGCACATCATCCCAACAGTGATGTTAGGGGAGTGGGTACCTTAAGGCGATAACCCCCGTTGCCATCGAGTTGATTCCAACTCATAGTGACCCTGTAGGACAGAGTAGAACTGCCCCATAGGGTTTCTAAGGAGCAGCTAGTGGATTCAGACTGCCAGCCTTTTGGTTAAAAACCAAGCTGTTAACCACTGTGCCACCAGGGCTCCAATAAACCAAAACCAAACCCATTGCCGTTGAGTCGACTCCAACTCATAGACACCCTATAGGACAGGGTAGAACTTCCCCACGGAGTTTCCAAGGAAGCGCCTGGTGGATTCAAATTGCTCACCTTTGGGTTAGCAGCCATAGCACTTAACCACTATGCCACCAGGGCTCCGATAGAAGGGGGATATAAGGCACTGTTTGAGAAATGAAACTCTTATTTGCTAAAGGTGTCGTATATCCCTCGAGTTACAAGGAGATTTACTTAAAAGGAAAAAACAATTTCCCCCAGGAGTTCTCAGAAATGTTTTTTTTCTAAGTATCTTTAATGAGTTCTACTCTCAGTTAATAAAGTCTTTAAACGGATCTTGCAGTCCGCTTTAGCATTTTCACATTAAGTCTATTAGTGAATTGTTAATGTTGACAGTAAATAGGAGGTGGACAATTAATTTGAAAAGTGTGTATTTTAATCTTTTTTTTTTTTTTTTACTTCCTGCTGTTCCACTTTATACCCATAAATGTTTTTCTGCTTCCTCATGGTCCTCTGATAATAGTACACTCAGGGCCAGTGTTGTTTTCTGATGTGTGTGTGTGTGTGTGTGAGAGAGAGAGAGAGAGACAGACAGACAGACAGACTGATCTACTCTATACAATGGGTAAAATAAGTTTCTTCTATGAGTCTGTTTCGGAGACTACTCTCTGTAATACTTTTATGGAAAAATGTGTGCAAAATTTTAAGTAACTACCACATTGGAGGTGCCTGTTATTCCATAATGTTAAGCTAAAAAATAATTTTAATCATACTTAATTTCCTTATTACCATATTTTTACACAAATAACGCACGCCTTCTACGTTTATGTGCCAACCCCTCCCTTCCCCTGCGAGGTATTTTCTTAATCATGCTATGCTAATTTTTTTTCACAGCAACATGTAAAAAAAAATTGGCCTAGTGGCCCTTCTGAAAATACCTCAGAGAGGAGAGGGAGCAGTTGGCAAACAAACGTAGAGCTAGTTATTTAAATAAAAAGTACAGTAGGTGTTTAAGTTATACACTGTGATTTGAAAAAAAAGTTCATGAATTGTTTATGACCCAAAGGGAAAAAAATTGAAAATATGTGTGTGTCTCAGTTGAGGGAATAGTTTGGATTGATTTCAAACCCAGGAATCCTAATCAGTTTTTGCCTGAATTTTGTGAAATGAATGGGTAAATATTTTCTCGTTTCATGATGGGTTTCTACATTAAAGCAGTAGAAAATACTGTGCCATCTCCGAAAATGTTTTGTGGATATAGTACAGCAAATTAAAAATTGACTAGATCTGTATAAGTAAGTTTATTTGACTTGATCCATCATGTTTTGAGAATAGATAGATTTGGGTGTACCAATTTTTAGTAAATTCTAATATTTAGGACCTTTTGTTTTATGAATAATACTTTTTAAAAAGATAAAGTCAGAGTATAACACTGGTACTGGAGAAATTAATTTGGGTAAACAAATAACTGGTATTCTGTCAGGAGTATTTTGAAATCTAGATTTATTACTTCTTTTTCATAGTTATGCCTTGAGTTATGAAAAAGCTCTAATCCTTGAGCCACATAATCCCAGAGTGCTTTCAGTGTAGCTAGGAGACTTGGCATATTCTTGCAGCTTAGGACATTGATAAGGGTTTATGGGATTTGGTTTTTTTCCCTAGTTCTTCTGGGGCTTGTGGTATGGGACTGTAGTTGTTTACAGAATTTTAGACTTTGGGGGTTTGACTCCTTATTTTTCATCTGGGAATTTTCTATGTTACATATAAGCAATTTTTAGTCTAACTTTTTTCAGTTTGATGTTTATGGATCGATATCGCTCTTCTAACAGTGCTCTTAATTTTTATAGGTATGCCTTACATTTTCTTGTACAAAGTGGAATTTCCTACTGTATCATGATCATAATAGGAGTGGAAAACATGCACAAGTAAGTATTCACCTGGTTCACACATTAATGCGTATCTTACTATAGTAGAATTAGATTTTATTTATTATATTAAAAAAATTCTGAATTGTGATAATTTTTTCAAACTCTCATAAATATACAAATACAGTCATTGGTATGCATCACTTTCCTATTATTTTAATTTCTGTAAAGCAGGGTTTCTCAGCCTCTGCACTATTGAGATTTTGGGCCGGGTAGTTCTTTGTTGTGGGGAGCTGTCCTGTGCATTGTAGGATGTCTAGCAGCATTCATGGCCTCTGCCCACTGGATGCCAGTAGCACCCTCCCCTAGTTGTGACAGCCTTGAATGTTCTTCATTTTCAAATGCCCCTTTGGGGCAGACTCTCTTCTGGTCACGAACCACTGCGTTAGTCTAGGGGTGATAACACTAGAGAGAGAGTGAAGTGAATAGATTGGAGAGAGATTTAGAAGGTAAATTTGAAAGGATTTAGTGATTGATGGGAAGTGCAGGTAGGAAGAAGGGTGTCTATGTTGACCCTCAGATTTGTGACTTGAACAGTAGGGTAGATGAAGTACAGTTTTCTGAGGTCGGGAACCCTCGAGGAGGAGAGCATGTTTAGAGGATAAAACATTTCAAGTGGGTATAGATTCAGCACCAAAAACAGTGCTGGTATGTAATTAACACTCAGTGAATATTTGCTGAATAAATGAATGTTGAGATCTGTGAGACGTATGATAGGAGCTGGGGAGCTGGGCAAAGAGGTCTGGTCCAGAGATGTAAATTTGGGAGTAGCGATATGTAAAAACCGCTTGGTTGAACACCCAAGGACAGAGTGCACCAGCAGATTCTTCTGTGGTGTTCCATGATACCTGTGAATGTGCTATATGGTGTTTGCACTATATTTTGGAATTCCGAAATACATATGACTCCAAGCGTTTCAAACAAGGCGTTGTGGACCTGTAGCTTTTTGAAGTCTTAACTCTGTTGCGCACCTTCAGTGTCTGACATTTTGGTCTTCTCTGTTTTCATGTGCTGTCTTCTTCAGTTTCCATTGACACTGCCTCTGTAGGCTTGCTTTTTTCTTCTGTAAACCAGCACGCACAAGTTCTTGATGTTTTGGTTTTAATTTTAATTTTGGTGTGTCTGTAAAACAGAGAATTTTGGCTCTTTTGTATACTTTGTAAGAGGATAAAAATATTTTTATAGTGTTTCAGGTGAAGCAATTTTTGTGCCATTATGACCTTATTGTTTGAAAATCTTATACAGATAACAGTTTCAAAGTGACACTACATTTAACATCTGGTAAAAATATTGGTATGTTTTTAATCTGAGTAATGGAAGGAAAGCCTAATTAGATCATTATAAACAGTTGACTGTGTATTACCACATAGAAGAAAGAGTAATACCATGAATTAAATTGGAAGGTTAGTAAATTCATATCTAGTAAAAGGAAATTGTTTCTTTTTCTGAAAGGCATTAGTTGTCTGTGAAGTTAACTTGATAATACTTTAGAACTGTACTGTCCAATATGGTGGCCACAAGCCACCTGTGGCTGTTTAAATTTTAATTAATTACAGTTTAAAATTTAGTTCTTCAGTCACACTAGCTACTGAATTGGGCGGCACAGAGAGAACATTTCTGTTGTTATACTGGTGATATTTAGAATAGGATTTCATTGTTGAAATTTGACGCTGTTGATGGATCGAACAGATTAGGGTAAGTCTTTGTCATATGAATTGTTACTGTTTGCAGTAAATATCAAAACCAAATTCGTTGCCGTCAAGTTGATTCCAATTCATAGCGATCCTATAGGACAGAGTAGAACTGCCCCATAGAGTTTCCTAGGCTGTAATCTTTACAGAAGCAGACTGCCATATCTTTCTCCCGTGGAGTGACTAGTGGTTTCAATGCCAGCCTTTTGATGAGCAGCCAAGTGCTTAATCGCTGTGTAACCAGAGCTCCTTGTAGTAAATAGAAGGATAATTAATTTCAAAAGTGTGTATTTAGATCTCTTTTTTAGCTTCTTTCTATTTCAGTTTATACTCATCTATGTTTTTCTGCTTGACTTGTTCTTTTTTCCTTGATATATATATGCATATATGTGTGTGTGTGTGTGTGTGTATTCATTACTTTTCCCACTTAGGCCTTTACATTAATTTAAAATATTAAATGGATCCAACTCTTTAAGAATTTCACTCAGATACACTAGATGGGACTCAAATACACAACATTCCTATGTGTTGTCCAGAGTTATTGTTTATGTGTAATACAGTTCTGTTTATTTCTTTCAGTCTAGTTTTAAATCATATGTGTAATACATTTTTCTTAACAGTCAGGGTTTAAATCTGTAAAACAAAGGATTTGGACTTCTTGTGGTACTGGGTTGGAGCCCTGGTGGTGCAGTGGTTGAGAGCTCAGGCTGCTAACAAAATGTCCACAGTTCGAGTCCACCAGCTTCTCCTTGAAAACCCTACGAAGCAGTTCTACCCTGTCCTGTAGGGTGGCTGTGAGTCAGAATCAACTCAATGGCAACAGGTTTGGGGTTTTTTTTTGTTTGTTTCTGAGTTACTTAACAGTTTTAAAATACTTGAGTCTCTCTGCTTTTATGATCCCAATGAGATATTCATAATGTAGTTGTTGTACTCTGTATAGCAGATTCATGTGTAAATTAAAATACTGTAATGTAATAGTCTATTTTTGTAGCTCTTTTTGATATTCCTATGTATACTGTATTATTCTGATACATATGTAGATAATTTGCCTTTAAAATTTAAGCCATTCTGGAATTCAGTGTTTTGTATAGTCTGTATTTTCATATCAGCTTTGACTTTCTTTGAGGAAAGGAAATATAAGATTTCTTTTATAAATATAAAATTAAAAATTTCTGTGATAGAGACAAAGAAAAGAGTGATAGTCATTCATAAAGGGAGAATTCAATTTTCACCAGGTTCTCTAACAGCCCAGCATCTCTGGAGCAGGGTTTAGCAAACTATAAAGAGCCAAATAGTATGTTTTAGGCTTTGTAGGATATACACCTCTGTCATAACTACTCAACTCTGCTGTTGTAGTCTGAAAGCAGCCATAGGCCGTATGTAAATAAATGAGCATGGTTGTACTCCAATAAAACTTTATTTATAAAAACAGGCTGGATTTGGCTCATGGGCCATAGTTTGTCAACCCAATACTAAGCAAGCTCCTGCTGCAGGGATTTTGAAAAAAAAGGGAAGCAGACAGACACTCTTTTTACTTATGTTTGCTAAGTGATAATTTTTAACTTGCTGCAGCACAAATAGTGAAATATATGAAGTTTATATTTATGAATGACTTATAGATTATTGTTCTGAAGCAGGAAGATTTCTAAAAAGTTAGTTAAAATGTTTACCTTCTTTTCAGTATAGCTTTTGCGTAAAAGGGAAGTGAAATAATGCAAGACCTGATGTTTTACACTTAAGGTGATAATGAAAAAATATTTTATTCCGAAAATTAAAAGGAGAATAGTAAGATCACAGGATTCAAGAACAATATACAAAAATCTATTTTTTTCCTATATATTAGAATGAACAATTCAAAAGTAAAATAAAAAATATATTCACAATAGCATCAAACAATCATATGTTTAGGAATAAACAAAGAAGTTCAAGATGACTACACTGAAAATAGAAAGCATTGCTGAGAAAAATTAAAGAAGACCTAAATAAATGGGTAGATATACCATGTTCATGGATATGAAGCCCCAGTATTGTTAAGATGGCAGTTTTCCCACAGTTAATAGATTCAATGCAATCCCTATCAAAATTCCAGCAGGCTTTTTTGTAGAAGTCAATAAACTGATCTTAAAATTTAAATGGAAATACAAAGGACATAGGATAACCAAAAAAGAACAGTCAGAGGACTTACACTGCCTCATTTCAAAACTTAACCATAAAGCTACATTAATCAAGGCAGTGTGGTCTTAGCATAGGGATAGACATATAGATCAAGGAAACAAAATAGAGAGTCTAGAAGGATACCCTAATGTATATATATGGTCAAATGATTTTTGACAGAAGTACTAACGTATTTCACTGGGGGAAAGGATTATCTTTTTAAAAAATGGTGCTGTAACAATTGGATATCCACATGCAAACAAACAAATAAATAGCCTTGACCTATACTTCAAATTATACACAAAAATTAACTCAAAGTGGATCATAGATCTACACGTTGGGGCAAAAAATATAAAACTTGTAGAAGATAACGTAGGAGAAAATCCTTGTGACATTGGATTAGGCAAAGATATGATATTAAAAGCACAAACAATAAAAGGAAACTTGATAAATTGGACGTCATTAAAATTAAAAATGTTCACTCTTCAGAAAAGGACACCACTAAGAAAATAAAAGACAAGGTATAGTTCAGGATAAAATATTTACAAAACATATGTGATGAAAGAATGTATCCTGAATATTTAAACAACTCTTAAAACTGCATAATAAGGTTGAATAAGGATGTTGTTGATGTGTTGTGGGATTATTAACCATTGTCATAGGGCAACATGTGTAGTAACTGTTAAATGAGAAACTATTTTGTTCTGTAAGCCTTCATCTTAAGTGAG